AAAAATCTGAAAGCTTTTCTTGTGTGTGTGTTGTGTTGTGTGTGTGTGTGTCAGATTACTTCCCAAGTAATTTTTAATAATTTTTAATTTACTGAAATTTTTTTCACCAGAAGCCACAGAAACAGGTAGGGTTAAAAAAATTCTTATTGCCAGAGCATAATTTAAAACATAAGGAATGAAATCATTTTATATATACAATACTTTCTAATGTCTCATTTGGCTGTTTTTTACCTCGAAAAATATCTTTGAGGGGAGTTATTTCATTAAAGAGTTGTATACCGACTGTACCTCTTTCACAATACTTCCTTCCTTAAAAAGCAGAATGTTGAATTGCACTCAGGATGATAAGGTAAATATTTCATTTTCCGAAGAGATCACGTGCTCAAGAATTGCAAAATAGAAAGTCTTCAATTACTGGAAGGGTCCCCCATCCGGTAAAGAGGTTAGCAACGCTGACTCCTGTGCCGTAGGGTCTGGGTTCAAATCCCAGAGAAGGCATGGATGTTTGTAAATGCTAAGTGCCTTTGCAGCATGAGGGTTCTCAAAATAGCCGTTGAGCCGCAAGTCCTCTCGTGAGGTTGATGGAAGGGAAAAGGAAAACAGAGGTCTCTGATCCTCCACCGGGATGTTCTCCCTCTAAATGGGGGTGGGACCGAGCTAAAAATTTTCCAGTCACCTGTATGTTGCTGAAGGCTACGGCCAACGACAGACGTACATCTAGCCTTTTGCCATGATGAATATCGTGGACCTGGAACTCACGCAGTCGAGATGGTGGCATAAGAAACAACAATTGCTGGAAGGGATTTGTAACTATTTCATTACTACCCTCGTAATCAAATAGACGTACCTTTTTCGAGAATTTCGAGATCTGAAATTAAGTTCAATACCTAAATCTCTCGCAAGTGTTGTGGCCGCCGTAGCCTAGTGGTCAAGGTAACAGATTCGTGGCTGGCTTGTCATAAGTTCGAGCCCAGCACCACTGAAGTCTCGCCGTGTAGTGGAGCGATGCAAGTTAAATCTATCGAGAGCTCAAACGTCCTCTCGTTGGTGTGGTAGTCAGAAGAAGGGTTCCAGATAAAGTGCCGTCCTCGTCACTTGACCATGGTTCAAATTTACGAGGGCCGTCACCATAAGCCCTCATGTAGATGTGAAGGTAATATTCACTCACTCGCAAAGGTTGTTGCTGAATCGACAAATATTTCGAAATACTCGCGTCAGATCATTGGAAAAATTATTATTTTTTAAGATTATCTAAGCCTTGCAATACATTCCGCGATGTTTAATTTAGGATTTTGAGAAGCATTGTATACTCAATATATCAACAATATATTAATTCATGCCAAATTAAAACTGAACAGAAAAATTTAAAAGTTTCAAGACTTAATTATTGATTCAGCAGCCATTTTTACTTTCGTGTCTCTCTCTCTCTCTCTGAGGTGGTATCTTCAATTAAGGCATTTAATGCGGTAATAATGTTTTCAGGTCTTGTTGTAGAGATTTAATAGCATTGATATGACTTTCCCACCTTGTTTCACTTAATGGTTTTAAAGTTAGACTTTTCGCGTGTTTTTCAAGTAAATCCCACATAGATAAGGGGATACAGAAAAGTAATTATATACCTATTGTGCCATATTAAATGAAGGATGTGAGTACAGAATAGACATTAATATGGACAATGGACCAACACACTCTGCGCGTTAGCATTCTATTTTTTTTAAACTATGCTATCGAGATTTATTTTGATTTTTGAATAACTATTTAATATTCAGCATATTTATTAGATTTATTATAAACTTTTTTTCGTGAAATTCGTAAAAAATTTTGCTTGATTGATAGAACTACACTGGTGTTCAGAATTAAGAGAATTTGCATATTTAGTGTGTCGAATACGTAAGAGTATATATGTGTATGGATGAATTTAATCGAGGAACAGGTTTTATAAGTGCGCTTTCCAAAATCCGCATTTCGTTCGCTAGCTCACCTCGCCGAATTTCTTGTGTTTTATTGCAGCAATCGGTTAAATCAAAATTCAAGCAGAAAAAATAAGTAATCCCCGATATTTAAATGATGGGATGATTGTGAGCTGGCTAGAAAGTCGTCAGTCTAAATCCAGATTTGTAGATAATTCAATTTAACGCCTAACATCGTGTCCAACTTATAGAAACACTTTCAGAACACCATATCCGTCGAGAGAATGCCTGAGCAAGGTCGTTTAAGAGCAGTGACGGCCAGTGAAGGTCTCCATTTGTCGATTATAGCGAGTCGTAACAGGGATGTTGTAGCTTCTCTGATCTCTCGTAGGTTGTATAGGTGTGGGTTCAAAAACCCGAGTTTTAAGGGTGACTGATTCCAAATAATTTATGAGAGAGGACTATTTGTAATATGACCTGTTGTTCGCGCCCAACTCGGTTCTGTTAACCGGACAATCCGTTTAAAATTGAGCAGATTCTCACTGTTCTATCGTATGAACAGAACAAGGTACCCACGGCCTGCCTTCCAATGTCCGAGGAATAGACCATAACGGCAGCGGAGGCTTGATGGTTTGAGCAAGCATCATGTTGGATGGAGTGAGTGGTCAATATCACACTGCTCAGCTGCGCTAGGGCTTTTGGCGACGGACTTGGTAATTTTGAATCATGGTCAAGTGACGAGGAAGACACCATGAAATGGAATTCCCTCTCCTAACTACCACTACCACACCACACCAACGGGAGGACGTTTGAGCTTTCGACAGATCTAACGTGTATCTCGGAGCTCTACACGACGGGTCTTTAGTTTTACTGAGCTCAAACTCATGACACGCCAGCAACGATCCGATACCTTGACCACTAGGTTACCGTAGCCCCCTATGCCTTTAAAAGAAGCACTGTGACCGAGCTGTGAGGTATAAGTATGAGGCCTTGGAACCATATGATTTCCTTTTCAGAGATACAGTTGACCCTGAATTCATTTTTATGGATGACAACACGGAGGAGGAGATTTGCCGAATGATTCGGCCAGCCAGATCTCCAAATCGCAACCCTATAGAGCAAGCTTGGGGCGCTCTGGGTGTGAACAATTGCAACTCTCAACCCCCCTCTGAGAACCATTTAAACATGTTTAAATGGTTCTCCTGTTTTTAGACCTGAAATCAGTGTTGCTGAACGAGGGGAACCATTTGTACACAAGAAATGTACTCCATCATTTCAAGTATAAAAATATTGTGCGAGACCTGTATATCTGTGAGAGGGGACCTTTCTCTTTTTTAACTATTTTTTCTTCTTCTGCAACTGCTGTTTCATACATTCCAAATCCGAGAATAGTGTTACGTACATCATACTTGTGTACGATAATTTTTGAATAATTATTTTTATTTATTTATTTATTATTACTTTTTTTTTGCATTATATCAACATAAGTATATATTATTGTGGATGTCCAAAATAGGAGAATGTCGACTTTCACCAGTGAATGTCGACATACACCAAATACGTCGGTGAAAGATCGAATAATGTATTATAATCGTATACATAGAGTAATAGCATCCAGGAATTTTCATAAAATACTGTCGCGAGCAATGTTTCGGCAAAGCGGTTTGCTTAAAAATTAATTTCAGTGTCTTCAATGGGAAACTTCTCTCTAAATTAGGGTCCGTTGAATTAATCAGATGCTTGTACTTACATAAAATGAATGTACTGTAAAAAGAACTTCCAAGTGCAGTGTTATTTTAAAAAACAAAACAAAAAATTATACGGAAGCATAATACAGGTTATATTCTATATAAGTTCTATATTTTACGTTAATATCTTATACAATTTATAAAAATATATGTCTCATTCAATAGAAAGATGGAATAGTGTAGTTTATAAAGCGCCTTACATTTCCGAACTTACGTAGAATGATTTCATTTTTCCTAAACAATTTTAGGAACTTGAAAAGAGGTTCGGATGAAGGAGCCCTGAAAGTTCAGTCAGTAAAGAGTTAGGCATTTAACCTATTGGTCCAGGGTTCGAGTCCCTGTTCGGGCATTCACACACACACACACATTTCACATGAATAGAATTCATACGATACTGTTAAAGATTTTAGAGGTGTTCTCTTGAAATTCTGTTGGAGGCAAACTTTGGGCAGAGCAGTTTCCTTGAGAAATAACTTCACAGTCTTCAATGGGAAGTTTCTCTCTCATTTTTAGAATCCGCAGTCTTTTTTGCTTAAATAAAATGAAAGTAATATAAAAAAAATTTCCAAAAGAGCAGCTTTTTATTAGCAAACAAAACAAAAAATTATACGGAAGAATAATACAGGTTATATTCTATATAAATTCTATATATGTTGTGTTAATATATAATATACATTTTATATATTATATGACTCATTCAAAAGAATGATGGGATAGTTCCTTTTAAAAACGCCTTACATTTCCGAACATACGTAGAATGATTTCATTTTTACTAAACAAATTGTTGAAACTTGGAAAGGTTCGAACAAAGAAGCCCGGATTGCTCAGTCGGTAGCGCGATAGGCTTTTAACCTAACGGTCCAGGGTTCGAGTTCCTGTTCGGGCGTTCTTTTTTCCATAAATAGAATTCATAAGATAGAGTAAAAGCATTCAGGAGTTTTCATAAAATCCTGTCGGGAGCAATGTTTCGGCAAAGCAGTTTGCTTAAAAAGTAATTTAAGTGTCTTCAATGGTTAATTTCTCTCTATCTCTCTTAGGGTCAGTTGACTTAATCAGATGCTTGCTCTTATATAAAAAAAATCTTATGTAAAAAGAACTTTCAAGTGTGCAGCATTATTTTACAGAGAAAAAAAAATTATACGGAAGCATAATACAGGTTATATTCAATATAATTTCTATATTTTATGTTAATATCTTATACAATTAATAAAAAATATATGACTGATTCAATAGAATGATGGGATAGTTTTGTTTGAAGCGCCTTACATTTCCGTACATACGTAGAATGATTTCATATTTACTAAAAAATTGTAGGAACTTGGAAAGAGTTTCGGTTGAAGGATCCCGGATAGCTCAGTTGGTAGAGCTTTAGGCTTTTAACCTAATGGTTCAGCGTTCGAATCCCTGTTCGGGCGTCCTTTTTACATGAATAGAGTTCATACGATACTGTAAAAGATCTAAGTGTGTACTCTTGTAATTATATTGGGTGCAAACTTTGGGTAGATCAGTTTCCTTGTGTGAAAAATAACTTCCTAGTCTTCAATGGGAAATTTCTCTCTCATTCTTAGGATCCCTTGTCTTTTTTGCTTATATAAAATGAAAGTAATATAAGAATTTCCAAGAGCAGACTTTTATTAACAAACAAAACAAAAAAATATACGGAAACATAATACAGGTTATATTCTATATAAGTTCTATATGTTGTGTTAGTATATAATACATTTTAAAAAATATATGACTCAATCAAAAGAATGATGGAATAGTTCTTTTTAAAACTCCTTACTTTTCCGTGCATACGTAGCATGATTTCATTTTTACTGAACAATTGTAGAAACTTGGAAAGTTTCGAACGAAAGAGTAGGTATAACTCAGTCGGTAGAGCGTTAGGCTTTTAACCTAACGGTCCAGGGTTCGAGTCCCTGTTCAGGCGTTCTTTTTACATAAAGAGAATTCATAAGATAGAGTAAAGGCATTCATGAGTTTTCATAAAATCCAGTCAGGAGCAATGTTTCGGCAAAGCAGTTTGCTTAAAAAGTAATTTCAGTGTCTTCACACACAAAGGGAAATTTCTCTCTATTTTAGGGTCACTTCACTTAATCAGACGCTTGTTCTTATATAAAAGGAATGTACTGTGTAAAAATAACTTCCAAGTGCAGCATTATTTTAAAAAACTAAACAAAAAATTATACAGAAGCATAATACAGGTCATATTCTATATAAGTTCTATATTTTATGTTAATATCTTATACAATTAATGAAAAATATATGACTGATTCAATAGAATTATGGGGTAGTTTTGTATAAAGCGCCTTACATTTCCGTACATACGTAGAATGATTTCATATTTACTAAAAAATTGTAGGAACTTGGAAAGAGTTTCGGAAGAAGGATCCCGGATAGCCATTTTGGTGACGTTCCAGGATTCGAGCCCGGTTTAAGGTTTTTTTTTACATAAAAAATTCTAAAGATAAGAAAAAAGCATTAAAGAGTTTTCATAAAATCCTGTCGGGAGAAATGTTTCCCAAAGCAGTTTGTTTTAAAAGTAATTTCAGTGTCTTCACACTATAAATTTCTTTTTAACTTAGGTCACTTCACTTAATCAGATGCTTGTTTTTATATAAAATGAATGTACTGAAAATTTTGAATTTCCAAGTGCAGCATTTTTTTTAAAACCAAAACAAAAAATTATAGGGGGAAGCATAATACAGGTTATATTCTATATAAGTTCTATATGTTGTGATGGGTATATAATAATAAAAAAAAAAATATATGACCCAATTAAAATAATGATGGAATTGTTTTTTTTTAAAACGCCTTACATTTGCGAAAAAATACATGATTTCATTTTTACAAAAAAATTTTTTGAAACGTGGGAAGATTTTTGGGGAATTGGGCCCCCGGATAGCTCAACCCCGGTGAGCGTTATTTTTTTAAAACTTAAGGGCCCCGGGGTTCGAGTCCCTGTTCGGGCGTTCTCTTTTTTGAATAAATTTAAAACGATACTGAAAAGTTTTTTAGGTAATTTTTTGGGAATTTTTTGCGGGCAAATTTTGGACAGAACATTTTCCCCTTGAAAAAAAATTTTAGTCTTCAATGGGAAATTTCACCCCTCATTCTTAGGACCCCTTTTTTTTTTGCTTTTTAAAAAAAATGAAAGTAATATAAAAAAAATTTTCCAACACCCAACTTTTATTAAAAAAACGAAAAAAAAACTATACGGAAGCATAAATACAGGTTATATTCTATATAAGTTCTACATTTTATGTTATAAATTTTTATACTTTTAAAAAAAAATATTTTGACTGATTCAATGGGAATGATGTGTGGTAGTTTATTTTAAAAGCGTCTTAAATTTAGAAACATACGTAGAGTGATTTCATATTTACAAAAAAATTGTAGGAATTTGGGAAAAAGAGTTTCGGAAGAAGGACCCCGGATAGCTCAGTGGGTTTAGGGGCGTTGGGCCCTTTTAAACCCCAAACGGTCCAGTTTTCGTCCCTTTTCCCGGCGTTTTTTTTACATGAATAGAAATTCATACGATACTGAAAAAATTTTAGGTGTCCTTTGGAAATTTGTTGGGGGCAAATTTTTGGGCGGAGCAGTTTCCTTTAAAAATAACTTTTTAGTCTTCAAAGGGGAAATTTCTCCCCTCATTCTTAGGACCCCTTTTTGTTTTTTTGCTTATATAAAATGAAAGTAATATAAAAAGAATTTCCAAAAGGCTTTTATCAACAAACAAAACAAAAAACTATACGGAAGCACAATACAGGTTATATTCTATATAAGTTCTACATTTTATGTTAATATCTTATACAAATAATAAAAATATATGACTGATTCAATAGAATGATGGGGTAGTTTTGTTTAAAGCGCCTTACATTTCCGTACATACGTAGAATGATTTCATATTTACTAAAAAATTGTAGGAACTTGGAAAGAGTTTCGGAAGAAGGAGCCCGGATAGCTCAGTCGGTAGAGCGTTAGGCTTTTAACCTAACGGTCCAGGGTTCGAGTCCCTGTTCGGGCGTTCTTTTTACATGAATAGAATTCATACGATACTGTAAAAGATTTAAGGTGTTCTCTTGAAATTCTGTTGGGGGCAAACTTTGGGCGGAGCAGTTTCCTTGAAAAATAACTTCCCAGTCTTCAATGGGAAATTTCTCTCTCATTCTTAGGATCCATTGTCTTTTTGGCTTATATAAAATGAAAGTAATATAAAAGAATTTCCAACAGCAGCTTTTTATTAACAAACAAAACAAAAAACTATACGGAAGCATAATACAGGTTATATTCTATATAAGTTCTACATTTTATGTTAATATCTTATACAATTAATAAAAAATATATGACTGATTCAATAGAATGATGGGGTAGTTTTGTTTAAAGCGCCTTACATTTCCGTACATACGTAGAATGATTTCATATTTACTAAAAAATTGTAGGAACTTGGAAAGAGTTTCGGAAGAAGGAGCCCGGATAGCTCAGTCGGTAGAGCGTTCCAGGATTCGAGTCCCGGTTCTGGCCTTCTTTTTACATAAAGAGAATTCATAAGATAGAGTAAAAGCATTCAAGAGTTTTCATAAAATCCTGTCGGGAGCAATGTTACGGCAAAGCAGTTTGCTTAAAAAGTAATTTCAGTGTCTTCAATGGGAAATTTCTCTATCTTAGGGTCACTTCACTTAATCAGATGCTTGTTCTTATATAAAAGGAATGTACTGTAAAAAGAACTTCCAAGTGCAGCATTATTTTAAAAATAAAACAAAAATTATACGGAAGCATAATACAGGTTATATTCTATATAAGTTCTATATTTTATGTTAATATCTTATACAATTAATAAAAAATATATGACTGATTCAATAGAATGAAGGGATAGTTTTGTTTAAAGCACCTTACATTTTCGTACATACGTAGAATGATTTCACATTTACTAAAAAAATTGTAGGAACTTGGAAAGAGTTTCGGAAGAAGGATCCCGGATAGCTCAGTCGTTAGAGCGCTACACTGTGAAAAAACCGGTATTCTTAACTGAGTAAAAAAATACCACTTTTAAATACGTCACATACCAAAATAGCTCGATGCAAACATACTCAAATTTGAGAATATCCCATTTTATCTTTGGCAACGACTACGTACTTAAAATTGTAAACATCACATACTCATTTTTGAACCTGTTACTGGATCAAATTTGAGAATATAACAGCAAAATGAGTGCGTAATGTACTCATGTATGAGTTTTTATGGGTCAAATATGAGTATGTATCTTTTTTATTTTATGGTTTGTGTATCCAATACGAATTTTTAACTTACAAATATATATCAAATCAAATTTAAAGGATCTAAATATGTGATACTTAAGTTGTAAATTTCATTTTTCCATCTTATATATTATTTAATCTACATTTACGAAGCTTTTACCACTTTACTTCGAAGATCTAAATTCTTTTGCATTTATTGTGTTACTTGCATATCATCGCAAAAGTGTCAACATTCAAGATAATTGCCATGTCTCTTACGCGCAGAATTAACAACCATGTACTTGTTTTATATAATGTCGCGCCAATGTTCTTGAGGTGATACGCAAGTTCCAACAAAATATAATTTTGGTTTAAAATGCAACTGCTATGTGATCATAAACTGTATTATTTTTGAACTTATACCTCAAATTTTAATCTTTGAATATAACAAAAAAGATTCGATGCTATAGTTAAGCAAATGAGTAAGCAATTTGGCTCATTAAAAGTTATATTTATATTTCTAGAAGCAATATATTGTCTTTAAAATCTAATACAAACAGAAAATTAACTTTTATTTAAAATCAGTCTTTCAATAAGTATCTTGGAAACATTATTCATTAAAAAGTGTCTTGGAAACATTATGATGAATAAACAGACTTTTCATATTAAAAATTTCTAAACATAAAAGTAAGAAAGGAATGGTTTCTAACATATGTAACATGAAAAAAACTTATGACGTGGTGGCGCAAATGATAAGGGACGGACGGGGAAGGGGGTTCTTTACTAAGTCCACTAGTTATTAAAACACGTTTATTAGACAAAACAAACACATTTACATACATAACTAGAGAACTAACAGTTGACATAGAATTGAAAGGGATCGGAGCGCATGCTCATTAGGTCCTTACAGTTCCGAAACTTGGCCATCACTGAAGATTGTTCTGTTCGCTAGAGGGCGCGAAAGTCTCTTTACTGTTAATATGGAAGAGTCTAAATAACGGGGGTTACAATCTCCCCCTATGGATCCGACGACGTCCCGGCGAGGAGCCAGAATCAGAATTAGCTATTGTAGAAGTAGCATTTGTTGAGGGATGAATGGTTCTGCTGGAAATGGCTGTTGAAGCAGTTGATGGACTTGGAACCTGTGTATTTTGTATTGATGTAGGCGTAACTTTTCG